TCAAAAATCGGGGATTTCAGACCAAAACTTGGGGATTTGGGGTCAGAAGTTGAGGTTGGGATGGCCCTGGAGGACATCAACGAGCGCCGCGACATCCTGCCCGACTACGAGCTCCGCCTCATCCACTACGACAGCAAGGTGAGGGATTTTGGGGTCAAAATTTAGGATTTTTGGGTCAAAATTTGGAGTTTTGGGGTCAAAATTTGGGATTTTGGGGTCAAGATTTGGGAGTTTGAAGTCCAAAATTGGGGTTGGAGGACATCAATGAGAGCCACCAAATCCTGCCCGACTACGAGCTCCGCCTCATCCACTACGACAGCAAGGTGAGAGATTTTGGGTCAAAATTTAGGATTTTTGGGTCAAAATTTGGGATTTTAGGGTTTTAAGGTCAAGATTTGGGGATTTGGGGTCAGAATTTGGGGTTTCGGCTTGGATTTGGGTCAGGATTGGGGTTTCTGGACAACCTGCCCGACTGCGCGTTCCGACTCATCCGCTACGACAGCAAGGTGAGATTTTGGGTCAAAATTTGGGATTTTTGGGGCAAAATTTGGGGTTTGGGGTCAGGATTTGGGATTTAGGGTCAGGAATTGGGGTCAGAATTTGGGGTTTCGGCTTGGATTTGGGTCAGGATTGGGGTTTCTGGACAACCTGCCCGACTGCGCGTTCCGACTCATCCGCTACGACAGCAAGGTGAGATTTTGGGTCAAAATTTGGGATTTTTGGGGCAAAATTTGGGGTTTGGGGGTCAGGATTTGGGATTTAGGGGTTTGGGGACATCCTGCCCGACCACGAGGTCACCGGGACGAGGTGGGAACGGGGTTGGGGTGGGATTGGGGTGAGTTTTGGGGTTTGGGGTCGGGTTTGGGGTCACCGGGATGGAATTGGGGTGAATTTGGGATTGGGGTGAGTTTGGGATTTGGGATTGGGGTCAGGTTTGGGGTCCCCAGGATGGAATTGGGGTGAATTTGGGATTGGGGTGAGTTTTGGGATCACCAGGATGGGATTGGGGTGAGGATGGGATTTGGGATTTGGGATTGGGGTCAGGTTTGGGGTCCCCAGGATGGAATTGGGGTGAATTTGGGATTGGGGTGAGTTTTGGGATTGGGGTGAGTTTTGGGATCACCAGGATGGGATTGGGGTGAATTTGGGATTTGGGTCATTTTGGGGTCAGGTTTGGGGTCACTGGGATGGGATTGGGGTGAGTTTGGGATTTGGGATTGGGGTGAGTTTTGGGATTGGGGTGAGTTTGGGATTTGGGATTGGGGTCAGGTTTGGGATTTGGGTGAGTTTGGGATTTGGGATCGGGGTGAGTTTTGGGATTTGGGATTTGGGGGAGTTTTGGGATTGGGGGGAATTTTGGGGTCACCGGGATGGAATTGGGGTCAGGTTTGGGGTCACCGGGATGGAATTGGGGTGAGTTTGGGATTTGGGATTGGGGTCAGGTTTGGGATTTGGGTGAGTTTGGGATTTGGGATCGGGGTGAGTTTTGGGATTTGTGTGAGTTTTGGGGTCACTTGGATGGGATTAGGGTCAGATATGGGGTCAGGTTTGGGGTCACTGGGATGGGATTGGGGTGAGTTTTGGGATTGGGGTGAGTTTTGGGATTGGGGTGAATTTTGGAGTCACCAGTGGGGTGAATTTGGGATTGGGGTGAGTTTGGGATTTGGGATTGGGGTGAGTTTTGGGGTCACCAGGATGGGATTGGGGTGAGGATGGGATTTGGGATTTGGGATTGGGGTCAGGTTTGGGGTCACCAGGATGGAATTGGGGTGAATTTGGGATTTGGGATTGGGGTGAGTTTGGGGTCACCGGGATGGGATTGGGGTCAGATTTAGGGCAGGAGGTCAGGAATGGGATCGGGATTTGGGGCCGGAATTTGGGGTGAGAATTTGGGATTGGGGTCAGGAATGGGATTGGGATTTGGGGCCAGAATTTGGGATGAGAATTTGGGATTGGGGTCAGGAATGGGATCGGGATTTGGGGCCGGAATTTGGGATTGGGACCGGGATATGGGACCCCAAAATGCCAATTTTTTCCCCCAAAAAATCCCAAATTTCTCCCCAAAAAATCCCAAATTTCTCCCCAAAAAATCCCAAATTTCTCCCCAAAAAATCCCAAATTTCTCCCCCAAAAATCCCAAATTTCCCCCCGTACCCCTGGGGATTTTTCCAGGACTCTCTCCAGACTCAAAAATCCCAAAAAAATCCCAATTCCCACCTAAAAAAACCCCCAAAATCACCAATTTTTCCCCCAAAAAATCCCAATTTTCCCCCAAAAAATCCCATTTTTACCCCCAAAAAATCCCAATTTTTTCACAAAAAGCCCCAAAATTTCCTCCTAAAAAAATCCCAATTTTCCCCTCCAAAAACCCCAATTTTTTTCCCTAAAAATCCCAATTTTTCCCAAATTTTTGGCCGTCCCAAACCCCCCTGAAATCCCCCTCCACCAAAACCGGTCCAGCGCCGTTGCCACGGCAACGGGGGATGCTGCTGAGCGTTGCCGTGGCAACGGCTCCGGCTCCTTTTCCGGACCTTTCCGTGCCCTGAATTATTCATGGAATTTTTCCTCTGGAATGGGGGAAAAATGGGAAAAGTGGGGGAGGGGATCCCCAATTTTGGGCTCCCAGAATTCCCGGATTTTTTTTGGGGGGGAAAAAAGGGGAAAATTGAGATTTTTTGGGTTGAAAATGTGATTTTTGAGGTTGAAAATTGGATTTTTTGGGGGGTTTTTGGGGTAGAAAATGGGATTTTGCAGGGGTTGAAAACTGGAATTTTTGGGGTTTTTTTTTGGATAAAAAATGGGATTTTTTTGGGATTTTTGGGGTAGAAAATGGGATTTTTAGGGGGATTTTTGAGGTTAAAATGGGATATTTTGGGGTCATTTTTAGGATTTCTGGGGCCCTTTTTGGGGTAATTTTTAGGTTGTTTGGGGCCATTTTGGGGTAATTTTGGGGTAATTTTTAAGATTTCTGGGACCATTTTTTGGGCCATTTTTGGGATTTTTGGGGTGATTTTTTGGGGCCATTTTGGGGCCATTTTTGGGGATTTTTGGAGCCATTTTTGGGGCCATTTGGGGGGATATTTTGGGGTTATTTTTAGGATTTTTTGGGGCCATTTTTTTATTTTTGGGATCATTTTTAGGCCATTTTTTTAGGTTTTAGGGCCATTTTGGGGTGGTTTTTTGGGCAATTTTGGAGTTTTTAGGGTGGGTTTTTTTCGGGAATTTTGGGGGTTTTTGACCTGGAACTGGTGGTTACTGGTTGAACTGGGATTGTCCCCGATTGTCCCCTCAGTGTGACCCCGGCCAGGCCATCAAGTCCCACGTGGCACCATCTTGGATTCACGGGTCCATCCTTGGATTTTTGGGTTTTTGGGGCCATTTTGGGGTGGGGTTTTTTTGGAATTTTGGGATTTTTTGACCTGGAACTGGTGGTTACTGGTTGAACTGGGATTGTCCCCGATTGTCCCCTCAGTGTGACCCTGACCACACCTGGTGCCATCTTGGAATTGATGGATCCAATCTTGAAGTTATGGGTCCAACAATGGATTTTTGGGTTTTTGGGGCCATTTTGGGGGGGGTTTTTTGGAATTTTGGGATTTTTTGACCTGGAACTGGTGGTTACTGGTTGAACTGGGATTGTCCCCGATTGTCCCCTCAGTGTGACCCTGACCACACCTGGTGCCATCTTGGAATTGATGGATCCAATCTTGAAGTTATGGGTCCAACAGTGACCCCGGCCAAGCCACCAAGTCCCACCTGGCGCCATCTTGGATTCATGGGTCCATCCTTGGATTTTTGGGTTTTTGGGGCCATTTTGGGGTGTTTTTTTTGGGGAATTTTGGGATTTTTTGACCTGAAACTGGTGATTGCTGGTTGAACTGGGATTGTCCCCGATTGTCCCCTCAGTGTGACCCTGGCCAGGCCACCAAGCTCCTCTACGAGCTGCTCTACAACCTCCCGTTCAAGATCATCCTCATGCCCGGCTGCTCCAGCGTCTCCACCCTGGTGGCCGAGGCCGCCCGGATCTGGAACGTCACCGTGGTGAGAAATTCGGGAATTTTGGGGAAAATTCGGGAATTTTTTGGTGTGGGAATTTTTAGGATTTTTTTGGAAATTTTTTGGGCATTTTTAAAGATTTTTTTGGGATTTTTCCAGGGGTTTTTTTGGGTTTTAATTTGGATTTTTAGAAGAATTTTTGGCGTATTTTTAGAAGAATTTTTGGGGATTGTTTCAGGGAATTTTCTGGATTTTTTGGGGGGGGATATTCTGAGGTTTTTGGTTTTTTGGGTGGGGATTTTCTGGATTTTTGGGGTGTTTTTTTATTTTATGGATTTTTAAAGATTTTTTTGGGATTTTTCCAGGGGTTTTTTTGGGTTTTAATTTGGATTTTTAGAAGAATTTTTGGCGTATTTTTAGAAGAATTTTTGGGGATTGTTTCAGGGAATTTTCTGGATTTTTTTGGGGGGGATATTCTGAGTTTTTTGGTTTTTTGGGTGGGGATTTTCTGGATTTTTGGGGTGTTTATTTTATGAAGGATTTTTTGGGGGATTTTTTTGGCTTTTATTGGGAATTTTACCAATTTTTGGGGTTTTTTAAAATTTTGAAGATTTTTGGGGATGATTTATTGTGGAGATTTTCTTGAATTTTTTTCTTTAATTTTTGAGGAATTTTGGGGGAGATTTTCTGGATTTTTGGGCAATTTTTTAAAGAATTTTTGGGGATTTTTTGGGGGAGTTTTGGGGAATTCTTGTGAATTTGGGGGGATTTTAAAACCACTTTTTTATTTTTCAAAATGATTTTGGAATATTTTGGGAATTTTTGGGGGGGAATTTTTGGGATTTTGAAAATTTGGGAATTTTTTGGTGTGGGAATTTTTAGGATTTTTTTGGAAATTTTTTGGGCATTTTTAAAGATTTTTTTGGGATTTTTCCAGGGGTTTTTTGGGTTTTAATTTGGATTTTTAGAAGAATTTTGGGGGTATTTTTAGAAGAATTTTTGGGGATTTTTTCAGGGAATTTTCTGGATTTTTTTGGGGGGGATATTCTGAGTTTTTTGGTTTTTTGGGTGGGGATTTTCTGGATTTTTGGGGTGTTTATTTTATGAAGGATTTTTTGGGGGATTTTTTTGGCTTTTATTGGGAATTTTACCAATTTTTGGGGTTTTTTAAAATTTTGAAGATTTTTGGGGATGATTTATTGTGGAGATTTTCTTGAATTTTTTTCTTTAATTTTTGAGGAATTTTGGGGGAGATTTTCTGGATTTTTGGGCAATTTTTTAAAGAATTTTTGGGGATTTTTTGGGGGAGTTTTGGGGAATTATTGTGAATTTGGGGGGATTTTAAAAACACTTTTTTATTTTTTCAAAATGATTTTGGAATATTTTGGGAATTTTGGGGGGGGGAATTTTTGGGATTTTGGGGGGATTTAAAAAAATTAAAAATAACATTTTCTTGTAATTTTTTTTAAATAAAATAAAAAGTTTTGGACTATTTACCGATCTTTTGGGAATTTTTTTGGGGGGGAATTTTTGGGATTTTGGGGGGGTTCTTCCTGTCACTCCCAGGTTGCCACTCCCAGATTTTTCCTGTCATTCCCAGGACATTCCCGACATTCCCACGTTGTTCCTCCTCTGTTGTTCCCAGATTTTTCCTGTCACTCCCAGGTTGTTCTCATCACCCCCATTCCCACCATTCCCGTTCCTAAAATTCCCAAAATTCTCCTTCCCATTCCCAACCTTCCAAAATTCCCATTCCCAAAATTCCAACAATTCCCATACACTCAAAATCCCCAGACCCCCAAAATCCCCAAATTCCCAAAATCCTCACCATTCCCAAATCCCTAATCCCCACAATTCCCACAATTCCCATTCCCAAATCCCCACAATTCCCAAAATCCCAAAACCCCCAAAATCCGAACAATTCCCATCCCCAAATCCCCACCATTCCCAAATTCCCGTAATTCCCACATTCCCAAATTCCCGTCCCCAAATTCCCACCATTCCCAAATTCTCACAATCCCCAAAATCTGAACAATTCCTATTCCCAAAATCCCCAGACCAAATCCCCAAAATTCCCATTCCCAAATCCCCACCATGCCCAAATTCTCACAATCTCCAAAATCCCCAAAATTCCTCTTCCCATTCCCATAATTCCCAAATTCCCACAATTCCCAAAATTCCCACAATTCCCAAATTCTCACAATCCCCAAAATTCCCATTCCCACAATTCCCAAATTCCCACAATTCCCAAATTCCCACAATTCCCACCATTCCCAAATTTCCACAATTCCCAAATCCCCAAAATCCCCACCCCAAATCTCCAAATTCTGATTCCCAAAATTCCCACAATTCCCCAAATCCTCAGTTTCCCAAAATTCCCATCCCCAAATTCCCACAATCCCAAAAATTCCCATTCCCAAATCCCCAAAATTCCCACCCCAAAATTCCCAATTTCCCAAACCCCCCAAAAACTACCAAAAAACCCCCACAAAATCCCTCCCAAAAAATCCCTCAAAATCCCAAAAAATCCCCAAAAAATCCTTTAAAAATCCAAAAAAAATCCCCAAAAATCCCCAAAAAAATCCCAAATTTTGGGGGGAATTCTTCCCCCAGCTTTCCTACGGCTCCAGCTCGCCGGCGCTCTCCAACCGCCAGCGCTTCCCGACGTTTTTCCGCACGCACCCGTCGGCCACGCTGCACAACCCCACGCGCGTCCAGCTCTTCAAGAAGTGGGGCTGGACCAAGATCGCCACCATCCAGCAGACCGAGGAGGTCTTCACCTCGGTAGGAACCCCAAAAACACCCTCGGAGTCCGACTGACGCCCCAAAATCCATCCCGGTGTCCGAGTCCATCCTGAATTCCAACTTGGCTCTGGTGGCCCCAAAATCCTTCTTTTGTTCCTCCTTGGTGGTCCCAAAATCCTTCTTGGTGACCCCAAAATCCTCCTTGGTGACCCTCAAATTGTCTTTGGTGGCCCCCAAATTCACCTTGGTAGGAACCCCAAAAACACCCTCGGAGTCCGACTGACGCCCCAAAATCCATCCCGGTGTCCGAGTCCATCCTGAATTCCAACTTGGCTCTGGTGGCCCCAAAATCCTTCTTTTGTTCCTCCTTGGTGGTCCCAAAATCCTTCTTGGTGACCCCAAAATCCTCCTTGGTGACCCTCAAATTGTCTTTGGTGGCCCCCAAATTCACCTTGGTAGGAACCCCAAAAACACCCTCGGAGTCCGACTGACGCCCCAAAATCCATCCCGGTGTCCGAGTCCATCCTGGAATTCCAACTTGGCTTTGGTGGCCCCAAAATCCTCCTTTGGTTCCTCCTTGGTGGCCCCAAAATCCTTCTTGGTGGCCCCAAAATATTTTTGGTCCCCAAATTGTCCTTGATGGTCCCAACCCCATTTTTGATGTCCCCAACCCCAATTTTGGTGTCCCCACCCCCATTTTTGATGTCCCCAACCCCAATTTTGGTGCCCCCAACTCCATTTTTGATGTCCCCATCCCCATTTTTGATGACCCCAACCCCATTTTTGGTACCCCCAACCCCTCCTTGATACCCCCACCCCATTTTTGATGTCCCCAACCCCATTTTGGTGCCCCCAACCCCTCCTTGATGTCCCCAACCCCATTTTTGGTGCCCCCAACCCATTTTTGATGTCCCCACGTCCCCCCCAGACCCTGGATGACCTCGACCGGCGGGTGAAGGAGGCCGGGCTGGAGATCACCTTCCGCCAGAGCTTCTTCTCTGACCCCTCCGCGTCCGTCCGCAACCTCAAGGTGAGACCCCACCCCCACCCTGAGGTCCCACCCCACCCTCGGGACCACCTCAAGGTCCCACCCCACCTTCAGGACCCTCCCCAGTCATGGTGGACCCCCAAAAAGAGGAGAAACCACCCCAAAAATCCATTGGGGTCAATGAGGAGTGGGCGAAGTTGTGGGAGAGGGAGGCAGGTTTATGCAAATGAGGTGGGCGGGGCTTTAAAAAGCATCCAATCCCGCAGCGCCAGGACGCCCGGATCATCGTGGGGCTCTTCTACGAGACGGTGGCGAGGAAGGTCTTCTGTGAGGTGGGAACGGGGTGGGAACGGGCTGGATTCCGGTGGTGGATGATGGGAATTGGTGGATCGTGGATGGATGGAAATGGATGATGATGATGATGGGTCATTGATGATGGATCAATGGTGGAAATTGATGGATCATGGATGGATGGATGGATGGAGGTGATGATGATGACGATGATGATGATGATGATGATGATGGATCAACGGTGGAACTTGATGGATCATGGATGGATCATGGATGGATCATGGATGGATGGAGGTGATGGTGATGATGATGATGGATCATTGCTGGATCGATGATGATGGATCAATGGTGGATCAATGGTGGAACTTGATGGATCATGGATGGATGGATGAATGGAGATGATGATGATGATGATGGATCATTGATGATGGATCAGTGGTGGATCAATGGTGGAACTTGATGGATCATGGATGGATGGATGGATGGAGATGGATGATGATGATGATGGATCATTGATGATGGATCAGTGGTGGATCAATGGTGGAACTTGATGGATCATGGATGGATGGAGGTGATGATGACGATGATGGATCAGTGCTGGATCGATGATGATGGATCAATGGTGGATCAATGGTGGAACTTGATGGATCATGGATGGATGGAGGTGATGATGACGATGATGGATCAGTGCTGGATCGATGATGATGGATCAATGGTGGATCAATGGTGGAACTTGATGGATCATGGATGGATGGAGGTGATGATGACGATGATGGATCAGTGCTGGATCGATGATGATGGATCAATGGTGGATCAATGGTGGAACTTAATGGATCATGGATGGATGGAGGTGATGGTGATGATGATGATGATGATGACAGATCAATGGTGGATTGATGATGATGGATCGATGATGATGGATCAATTATTGATCAATGGTGGAACTTGATGGATCATGGATGGATGGATGGAGATGATGATGATGATGATGATGATGATGGGAATTTATGGATCACGGATGGATGGATGGATGGAGATTGATGATGAAGATGATGATGATGGCTCAATGATGGAAATCAATGGATCATGGGTGGATGGATGGATGTATGGATGGAGATGGATGATGGATTCCAATGATGTATGATGATGATGATGGATCATGGATGATGGATCAATGATGGATCAATGGTGGAAATCGATGGATCATGGATGGAGATGGATGATGGATTCGAATGAGGGATGATGATGATGATGATGGATCGATGATGGACACTGATGGATTCCAATGATGGAAATGATGGATCACGGATGATCTCCCCACCCTTCCAGGTCTACAAGGAGAAGCTCTACGGCAAGAAGTACGTCTGGTTCCTGATTGGCTGGTACGCCAACAAATGGTTCCGCACGCCGGACCCTTCCATCAACTGCACCGAGGCCGAGATGGCCGAGGCCGTCGAAGGTCACATCACCACCGAGATCGTCATGCTCAACCCCGAGAACACGCGCAGCATCTCCAACATGGTACTGGGAGCACTGGGAGGGCTCAGCCCACCCAACCCTTGGGTGACCATTGGGTGGTGGCCAACCCAACCACGGGGTCACCTTTGGGTGGTGGCCAACCCAACCGTTGGGTCACTGTTGGGTGGTGGCCAGCCCAACTGTTGGGTCAATAGGGTCACCTTTGGGTGGTGGCCAACCCAACTGTTGGGTCAGCTTTGGGTGTTGACCAACCCAACCATTGGGTCAACATTGAGTCAATGTTGAGTGTTGACCAACCCAATTGTTGGGTCAGCTTTGGGTGGTCTCCAACCCAACCGTTGGGTCAACATTGGGTTCACATTGGGTGGTCTCTAATGGAAGCATTGGGTCAACACTGGGTCAACCTTGGGTGGTCTCCAACCCAACCATTGGGTCAACCTTGGGTGGTGTCCAACCCAACCATTGGGTCAAAGTTGGGTCAACCTTGGGTGGTCTCCAACCCAACCATTGAGTCAACATTGGGTTGACCTTGGGTGGTCTCTAATGGAAGCATTGGGTCAACATTGGGTCAACCTTGGGTGGTCTCCAACCCAACCATTGGGTGAACCTTGGGTGATCTCCAACCCAACCATTGGGTCAAAGTTGGATGGTCTCCAACTCAACCACTGGGTCAACCTTGGGTGGTCTCCAACCCAGCCATGGGGTCAATGTTGGGTCAACTTTGAGTCAACCTTGGGTGGTCTCCAACCCAACCATTGGGTCAACTTTGGGTGAACGTTGAGTGGCCTCCAACCCAACCATTGGCTCACCATTGGGCGTTGTCCACCAGACATCCCAAGAATTCATCGACAAGCTGGAGAAGAGGCTGGGCAACAACCCCAAGGAGACCGGTGGCTACCAGGAGGCGCCGTTGGCCTACGACGCCATCTGGGCCTTGGCCTTGGCGCTCAACAAGACAGCCCAAGAGTTGGCCAAGCAAGGGGTGGGGCTGGATGAGTTCAACTACAACAACAAGACCATAACGGACGAGATCTACCGGGCCCTCAACTCCTCGGCCTTCGAGGGCGTCTCGGTGCGTCGCCGGTGCCACCGAAATCCGGCCTGGGGTGGAGGTGACATCGAGGAGGGTTCCGAAAGTCGGATTTGGGTGGAGGTGGCACCAAATCTTCATTTTGGGTGGGGGTTCCTCAGAAATGTGGCCCCAAAATTCATCTTTGGATGGAGGTGACGTCAGAGGTGTCACCAAAATTCACCTTTGGGTGGAGGTGACATTAAAATTGTCACCAAATGTCATCTTTGGGTGGAGGTGACATCAAGGAGGGTCCCCAAAAGTCAGATTTGGGTGGAGCTGACACCAAATCTTCATTTTGGGTGGGGGTTCCTCAAAAATGTGGCCCCAAAATTCATCTTTGGGTGGAGGTGACATCAGAGGTGTCACCAAAAGTCAGATTTGGGTGGAGGTGGCACCAAATCTTCATTTTGGGTGGCGGTTCCTCAAAAATGTGGCCCCAAAATTCACCTCTGGGTGGAGGTGACACCGAAATGTGGCCCCAAAATTCACCTTTGGGTGGAGGTGACACTGAGGATGTCACCGGGGTGTCCCCAACGCTGTCCCCGTGTCCCCTCCAGGGCCACGTCGTGTTCGACGCCAGCGGCTCCCGCATGGCCTGGACCCTCATCGAGCAGCTCCAAGGTGAGGGGACAGCGGGGGACAGGGGGGACAATGCTCGGTGGCACTGAGGGACCTCCGGGTGACACTGAGGGACCTCTGGGTGACACTGAAGGACCTCCGGGTGACACTGAGGGACCTTCAGGTGCCACCAACCCCCTCTGCCTCCACCACTTGTGCCCAAGAGTCACCAGTGCCACTGCCAGGTGTCACCTGTGCCGGTGTCACCTGTCCTGGTGTCACCTGTCCCATTATTACCCATCCTGGTGTCACCTGTCCCATTGTCACCTCTCCCTTTTCACCTGTTCTGGTGTCACCTGTGCGGGTGCCACCTGTCCTGGTGCCTCCAAGGTGTCGCCTATCTGGGTGTCACCTGTCCCTTGTCACCTGTCCAGTGTCACCTGTCCTGGTGTCACCTGTGCTGGTGTCACCTGTCCAGTGTCACCTGTCCCAGTGTAATCTATCCCAGTGTCCCCAAGATGTCACCCATCCCATTGTCACCTGTCCCTTGTCACCTATCCAGTGTCACCTGTCCCATTGTTACCTGTCCATTGTCACCAGTGCCGTTGTCACCTGTCCTGGTGTCACCTGTCCCTTGTCACCCGTGCCAGGTGGGGAGTACCAGAAGATCGGTTACTACGACAGCACCAAGGACAACCTGTCCTGGTACAACAACGACAAATGGATCGGTGAGAAACGGGGGGAAATGGGAAAATCGGGAAAAATGGGGAAAATTTGGGAATTTGGGAAAAATGGGGGGAAAATTGGGGAAAAATTGGGGGGAAATTGGGGAAAAAATAAGGAAAAAATGGGGGAAAATTGGGGAAAAATGAGGGGAAAAATGAAAGGAAAAAAGGAGAAAATTGGGGAAAATTTGGGAAAAAATTACGGGAAATGGGAGAAAAAGTTGGGAAAAATTTTGGGGGGAATGGGACAAAAATGGGGAAAATTGGGGGGAAAATGGAAAAAAAATCACAGAAAAAAATGAGGAAGAATGGGAGAAAATGGGGAGGGAACATGGGAGGAGAAAAGGGAAATAAATTGGGGAAAAAAAGGAAAAAAATTGGGGGAAATGGGAAAAAAATAGGAAAAAATGGGGCCAAGAAAGGGAAAAAATTGGGGAAAATTGGGGGGAAAAATGGGAGGAAAATGGGGGAAAAAGGGAAAAATTGGGCAAAAAAAAGGGGGAAAACCAGGAGAAAATGCGACCAAGAAAGGGAAAAAATTGGGAAAATTGGGGGGGAAAATGGGAGGAAAATGGGGGAAAATGCAGAAAAATTGGGAAAAAAATTGGGAAAAAATGGGGAAAAACGGTGTCACCTGTCCCTTGTCACCTGTCCCAGTGTCACCTGTCCCTTGTCACCTGTCCCAGTGTCACCTGTCCCTTGTCACCTGTCCCAGTGTCACCTGTCCCTTGTCACCTGTCCCAGTGTCACCTGTCCCTTGTCACCTGTCCCAGTGTCACCTGTCCCTTGTCACCTGTCCCGGTGTCACCTGTCCTGGTGTCACCTGTCCCTTGTCACCCGTGCCAGGTGGGGAGTACCAGAAGATCGGTTACTACGACAGCACCAAGGACAACCTGTCCTGGTACAACAACGACAAATGGATCGGGGAGAAACGGGGGGAAATGGGAAAATCGGGAAAAATGGGGAAAATTTGGGAATTTGGGAAAAATGGGGGGAAAATTGGGGAAAAATTGGGGGGAAATTGGGGAAAAATTGGGGGGAAATTGGGGAAAAAATAAGGAAAAAATGGGGGAAAATTGGGGAAAAATGAGGGGAAAAATGAAAGGAAAAAAGGAGAAAATTGGGGAAAATTTGGGAAAAAATTACGGGAAATGGGAGAAAAAGTTGGGAAAAATTTTGGGGGGAATGGGACAAAAATGGGGAAAATTGGGGGGAAAATGGAAAAAAAATCACAGAAAAAAATGAGGAAGAATGGGAGAAAATGGGGAGGGAACATGGGAGGAGAAAAGGGAAAAAATTGGGGGAAAAAAGGAAAAAAATTGGGGGAAATGGGAAAAAAATAGGAAAAAAAAGAGAAAAAATTGGGGGAAATTTGGGGAAAATTGGGGGGGGGAATTGGGGAAAAATGGGGGGAAAATTTGGAAAAGTTGGGAAAAAAATGGGGGGAAAATGGGAGGAAAATGGGGGAAAAAGGGAAAAATTGGGCAAAAAAAAGGGGGAAAACCAGGAGAAAATGCGACCAAGAAAGGGAAAAAATTGGGAAAATTGGGGGGGAAAATGGGACCAAGAAAGGGAAAAAAATTGGGGAAAATTGGGGGGGAAAATGGGACCAAGAAAGGGAAAAAATTGGGAAAATTGGGGGGGAAAATGGGAGGAAAATGGGGGAAAATGCAGAAAAATTGGGAAAAAAATTGGGAAAAAATGGGGAAAAAACCAGAAAAAATGGGGAAAAAAGAGGAAAAAAAAATGGGGGGAAAATTTGGAAAAGTTGGGAAAAAAATGGGGGGAAAATGGGACCAAGAAAGGGAAAAAAATTGGGGAAAATTGGGGGGAAAAATGGGAGGAAAATAGGGAAAAAAGGGGGAAAATTGGGCAAAAAATTGGGAAAAAATGGGGAAAAAACCAGAAAAAATGGGGAAAAAAGAGGGAAAAAAAAGGAGAAATTGGGAAAAAAATTGGGAAAAAATGGGGAAAAAACCAGAAAAAATGGGGAAAAAAGAGGAAAAAAAAGAGGAAAATTATGAAAATGATGGAAAATCCTTCTGGATGTTCCCAAATTCCTGAATTTTTTGGGATTTGTCCCAATTTTGTCCCCAGGGGGGTCCCCCCCGGCCGATTACACCAAGGTGATCACGACCTTCCGCTTCCTGTCCCAAAAATTGTTCATTTCTGTCGCGGTGTTGGCGTCGCTGGGCATCGTCCTGGCCGTGGTTTGTTTGGCCTTCAACATCTACAACGGGCACGTCAGGTGGGAAAATCCAAAAATTCCCAAAATTCCCCAAAATTCCCAAAAATTCCGGGGGTTTCGGGGGTTGGGAAGGGAAAAAAAATGGGATTTTTTAAGGGTTTGGGGTGAAAAAATGGCAAATTTTAGGGGGTTAAAGTGAAAAAATTGTGAATTTTGGGGGGTTAAAGTGAAAAAAACTGTGAAAAACAGGAAAAAATTGGGGAAAACCTGGGAAAAATGGGGGAAAACTGAGGGAAAAGGGGAAAAATTCAGGGAAAATAGGGAAAAACTGAGAAAAATGGGGGAGGGGAAATGGAGAAAAATGGGGGGAAATTCAGGGGAAAATGGGGAAAAATTGGGAAAAATTCAGGGAAAAATTGGGAAAATTTCTGGGAAAAATTGGGAAAAATTAGGGGAAAAATTTGGAGAAATTCTGGGAAAATTTGGGAAAAAAGGAGAAAACTCAGGAAAAATTGTGGAAAATTCTGGGAAAAATGGGGAAAAATTCTGGGAAAAATGGAGAAAGCTCAGGAAAAATTGGGGAAAATTCTGGGAAAAATTTGGGAAAAATTCTGGGAAAAATGGACAAAAATCAGGAAAAATTGTGGAAAATTCTGGGAAAAATGGGGAAAAATTCTGGGAAAAATGGAGGGAACTCAGGAAAAATTGTGGAAAATTCTGGGAAAAATGGAGAAAAAGCTGGGGAAAAATTGGGGGGAAAAATGGGCAGAAAATTCAGGGAAAAAATGGGAAAAACGCCACCGTTGCCACCCTGAGAGTGACGCTGTCATTGGGGCACCCCGGGCATGTCCGGGTGTTGCCGTTTCCGGTTGTTGCAGGTACATCCAGAATTCCCAGCCCTACCTGAACAACATGACGGCCGTCGGTTGTACCCTGGCGCTCGCCGCCGTCTTCCCACTGGGGCTCGACGGGTACCACATCGGGCCGGGGCTGTTCCCCTTCGTCTGCCAGGTGGGGATGCCGGGAACAGGCGGAGGAACAGGCTGAGAGGAGGAAAGGGGGTGGGAAGAGTCAGAGGAATGGGGTGGGAACAGGCAGAGGAACAGGCGGAGGAACAGGGAAATGGGGTGGGAACAGGCAGAAAGGGGAGAAAATGGGATGGGAACAGGCAGAGGAACAGGCAGAGAAGGGGAAAAATTCGATGGGAACAGGCGGAGGAACACGAAAATGGAGTGGGAACAGGCGGAGAGGGGAGAAAATGGGATGGGAACAGGCGGAAGAACAGGTGGAGGAACAGGCGGAGGAACAGGAAAATGGTATAGGAACAAGCAGAGGAACAGGCAGAAAAATAGGCAGAGGAACAGGCAGAGAGGGGGAAAAACAAGATGGGAACAGGCAGAGGAACAGATGGAGGAACAGGCAGAGAAGAGGGAAATGGGACAGGAACAGGCAGGGGAACAGGCGGAGACACCACCAGGGAAGGGAAGAAACAGGAACAACCAGAACAGTCGGAAATCCAGCTGGGAACGGTGATGTCAACTGTTCCTGCTCTGGTTGTTCTAATTTCCTGGGTTCAGCTCTGGTTGTTCCTCTGATTGTTACCAACTGTTTCTTCCCATTCCGATTGTTCCTCCTCTGATTGTTTCCGACTGTTCCTGGCTGGATTTCCGACTGTTGTTTTCCAACAGGCGCGGCTGTGGCTGTTGGGGCTGGGCTTCAGCCTGGCCTACGGCAGCATGTTCACCAAGATCTGGTGGGTGCACACCGTCTTCACCAAGAAGGATGACAAGAAAGACAAGCGGAAGGCGAGAACTGCCGGGAATTCCCGGGGGAACAGGCGGAGGGGTGGTGTTGTTGTTGGGATTTGGGGGTTAGTTTGGGTGGGGTTTTCCATCGGGATGTGGGTGTGGTTTGTTGGGATTTGGGTGTTGGGATCCAAGGGTTCCATCGAGTTCTGGGTGTTCCGTCAAGTTCTGGGTGTTCCTTTGGGATCCGGGTGTGGTTTGTTGGGATTTGGCTGTTTGGGATCTGGGTGTTCCGTTGGGGTTGAGGTTGTTGTGAGCCGGGTGTTCCCTTGGGGTCCGTGTCCCTTTGGGATCCAGGTGTTCCTTTGAGATCTGGGTGTTCTTTGGGATCCGGGTGTTCTTTTGGGATCTGGGTGTTCCTCAGGGGTTTGGGGGTTGGGATCTGGGTGTTCTTTGGGATCCAGGTGTTCTTTAGGATCTGGGTGTTCCTCTGGGATCCAGGTGTGGTTTTTTTGGGTTTTGGGTGTTGGGATCTGAGGGTTCCATTGATATCCAGGTGTTCCTTTGGGGTTGAGGTTGTTGTGATCCGGGGGTTCCCTTAGGGTGCAGGTGTTCTTTGGGATCCAGGGGTTCTTTAGGATCTGGGTGTTCCTCTGGGATCCAGGTGTGGTTTTTTTGGGTTTTGGGTGTTGGGATCTGAGGGTTCCATTGATATCCAGGTGTTCCTTTGGGGTTGAGGTTGTTGTGATCCGGGGGTTCCCTTAGGGTGCAGGTGTTCTTTGGGATCCAGGGGTTCTTTAGGATCTGGGTGTTCCTCTGGGATCCAGGTGTGGTTTTTTTGGGTTTTGGGTGTTGGGATCTGAGGGTTCCATTGATATCCAGGTGTTCCTTTGGGGTTGAGGTTGTTGTGATCCGGGGGTTCCCTTAGGGTGCAGGTGTTCTTTGGGATCCAGGGGTTCTTTAGGATCTGGGTGTTCCTCTGGGATCCAGGTGTGGTTTTTTTGGGTTTTGGGTGTTGGGATCTGAGGGTTCCATTGATATCCAGGTGTTCCTTTGGGGTTGAGGTTGTTGTGATCCGGGGGTTCCCTTAGGGTGCAGGTGTTCTTTGGGATCCAGGGGTTCTTTAGGATCTGGGTGTTCCTCTGGGATCCAGGTGTGGTTTTTTTGGGTTTTGGGTGTTGGGATCTGAGGGTTCCATTGATATCCGGGTGTTCCTTTGGGGTTGAGGGTGTTGTGAGCCGGGTGTTCCCTTGGGGTCCGTGTCCCTTTGGGATCCAGGTGTTCCTTTGAGATCTGGGTGTTCTTTGGGATCCGGGTGTTCTTTTGGGATCTGGGTGTTCCTCAGGGATGCAGGTGTGGTTTTTTTGGGATTTGGGTGTTGGGATCTGAGGGTTCCATTGATATCCGGGTGTTCCTTTGGGGTTGAGGTTGTTGTGATCCGGGTGTTCCCTTAGGGTGCAGGTGTTCTTTGGGATCCAGGTGTTCTTTTGGGGATTTGGGTGTTGGGATCCAGGGGTTCCATTGGGGTTCAGGTTGTTGGGATCCGGGGGTTCTTTGGGATCCAGGTGTTCCCTTGGAATGTGGGTGTGGTTTTTGGGGATTTGGGTGTTGGGATCCGGCTGTTCCTTTGGGATTTGGGTGTTCCCCCTGGTATCAGTGACCGGGAATTCCGGTGTCACCGACTGGGAATTCCAGTGTCACCAACTGGGAATTTCCACCATTGGTGAACGGGAATTTCCATTGTCACTCACCGGGAATTCCCGGTTGGGTGACACTGGAATTCCCAGTTGGGTGACACCAGAATTCCTGGTCACCCATGGTGGAAATTCCCGGTGGGTGACATCGGAATTCCTGGTTGGTGACGTTGAAATTCCCAGTAAAGTGACACCGGAATTCCCGATTGGTGACGTTGAAATTCCCAGTTGGGTGACACCAGAATTTTCGGTCACCCATGGTGGAAATTCCCGGTGGGTGACATCAGAATTCCTGGTTGGTGACGTTGAAATTCCCAGTTGGGTGACACCGGAATTCCCGAAAATAGGCAGAGGAACAGGCAGAGAGGGGGAAAAACAAGATGGGAACAGGCAGAGGAACAGATGGAGGAACAGGCAGAGAAGAGGGAAATGGGACAGGAACAGGCAGGGGAACAGGCGGAGACACCACCAGGGAAGGGAAGAAACAGGAACAACCAGAACAGTCGGAAATCCAGCTGGGAACGGTGATGTCAACTGTTCCTGCTCTGGTTGTTCTAATTTCCTGGGTTCAGCTCTGGTTGTTCCTCTGATTGTTACCAACTGTTTCTTCCCATTCCGATTGTTCCTCCTCTGATTGTTTCCGACTGTTCCTGGCTGGATTTCCGACTGTTGTTTTCCAACAGGCGCGGCTGTGGCTGTTGGGGCTGGGCTTCAGCCTGGCCTACGGCAGCATGTTCACCAAGATCTGGTGGGTGCACACCGTCTTCACCAAGAAGGATGACAAGAAAGACAAGCGGAAGGCGAGAACTGCCGGGAATTCCCGGGGGAACAGGCGGAGGGGTGGTGTTGTTGTTGGGATTTGGGGGTTAGTTTGGGTGGGGTTTTCCATTGGGATGTGGGTGTGGTTTGTTGGGATTTGGGTGTTGGGATCCAAGGGTTCCATCGAGTTCTGGGTGTTCCGTCAAGTTCTGGGTGTTCCTTTGGGATCCGGGTGTGGTTTGTTGGGATTTGGCTGTTTGGGATCCGGGTGTTCCGTTGGGGTTGAGGTTGTTGTGAGCCAGGTGTTCCCTTGGGGTCCGTGTCCCTTTGGGATCCGGGTGTTCCCTTGGGATCCAGGTGTTCCTTTGGGATCTGGGTGTTCCTCTGGGATTTGGGTGTTGGGATCTGGGTGTTCTTTGGGATCCGGGTGTTCTTTTGGGATCTGGGTGTTCCTCTGGGATGCAGGTGTGGTTTTTTTGGGATTTGGGTGTTGGGATCTGAGGGTTCCATTGATATCCGGGTGTTCCTTTGGGGTTGAGGTTGTTGTGATCCGGGTGTTCCCTTAGGGTGCAGGTGTTCTTTGGGATCCAGGTGTTCTTTTTGGGATTTGGGTGTTGGGATCCAGGGGTTCCATTGGGGTTCAGGTTGTTGGGATCCGGGGGTTCTTTGGGATCCAGGTGTTCCCTTGGAATGTGGGTGTGGTTTTTGGGGATTTGGGTGTTGGGATCCAGGGGTTCCATTGGGGTTCAGGTTGTTGGGATCCGGGGGTTCTTTGGGATCCAGGTGTTCCCTTGGAATGTGGGTGTGGTTTTTGGGGATTTGGGTGTTGGGATCCGGCTGTTCCTTTGGGATTTGGGTGTTCCCCCTGGTATCACTGACCAGGAATTCCAGTGTCACCAACTGGGAATTTCCACCATTGGTAAATGGGAATTTCCATTGTCACTCACCGGTAATTCCCAGTTGGTGGCACCGGAATTCCCAGTTGGGTGACACCAGAATTTTCGGTCACCCATGGTGGAAATTCCCGGTGGGTGACATCAGAATTCCTGGCTGGTGACGTTGAAATTCCCAGTAAAGTGACACCAGAATTCCCGATTGGTGACGTTGAAATTCCCAGTTGGGTGACACCAGAATTTTCGGTCACCCATGGTGGAAATTCCCGGTGGGTGACATCAGAATTCCTGGTTGGTGACGTTGAAATTCCCAGTTGGGTGACACCGGAATTCCCGATTGGTGACGTTGAAATTCCCAGTTGGGTGACACCAGAATTCCCGGTCACCCATGGTGGAAATTCCCGGTGGGTGACATCAGAATTCCTGGCTGGTGACGTTGAAATTCCCAGTAAAGTGACACCAGAATTCCCGATTGGTGACGTTGAAATTCCCAGTTGGGTGACACCGGAATTCCCGATTGGTGACGTTGAAATTCCCAGTTGGGTGACACTGGAATTCCCAGTTGGGTGACACCAGAATTCCCGGTTGGTGACACCAGAATTCCCAGTTGGTGACACCGGAATTCCCGGTTGGTGACACAGAATTCCCTGCAGAGCCTGGAGCCCTGGAAGCTCTACGCCACCGTGGGGGGCCTGGTGGCCTTCGACGTCGTCACGCTGAGCGTGTGGCAGATCGTGGACCCCCTGCACCGCACCATCGAGGTCTGGGGGCTTCTCCGGGGGGCTTTGGGGGGTTCTGGAAGGTTCTCCAGGGGTTTTTAGGGGGATTCTGGAAGGTTCTCCAGGGGTTTGAGGGGGTTTCTGGAAGGTTCTCCAGGTGTTTGAGGGAGGTTCTGGAAGGTTCTCCAGGGGTTTGAGGGGGGTTCTGGAAGGTTCTCCAGGTTTTTGGGGGGGTTCTGGAAGGTTCTCCAGGTGTTTGGGGGTGTTTCTGGAAGGTTCTCCAGGGGTTTGAGGGGGGTTCTGGAAGGTTCTCCAGGGGTTTGAGGGGGGTTCTGGAAGGTTCTCCAGGGGTTTGAGGGGGGGGTGTTCTGGAAGGTTCTCCAGGGGTTTGAGAGAGCCTCAAGGTGTTTGGGGGAGTTCTGGAAGGTTCTCCAGGTGTTTGGGGGCTCCTGGGAGGTTCTTGAGGTATTCTGGAGGTGTTTGAGGGGTTCTCCAGGGATTTTGGGGGGGTTTCTGGAAGGTTCTCCAGGTGTTTGAGGGAGGTTCTGGAAGGTTCTCCAGGGGTTTGAGGGGGGTTCTGGAAGGTTCTCCAGGGGTTTGAGGGGGTTCCTCGAGGTGTTTGGGGGGTTCTGGAAAGTTCTCCAGGTGTTTGAAGGGGGTTTCTTGGGGTGTTTGGGGGGGATTCTGGAAGGTTCTCCAGGGGTTTGAGGGGGGTTCTGGAAAGTTCTCCAGGTGTTTGGGGGCTCCTCGAGGTGTTTTGGGGTTCCTCAAGGGGTTTGAGGGGGTTCTGGAGCTGTTTGAGGGGGGGTTCTAGAAAGTTCTCCAGGTGTTTGAGGGTTCCTCAAGGGGTTTGAGGGGGTTCTTGAGGTGTTTGGGGGGGTTCTGGAAGGTTCTCCAGGTTTTTGGGGGGGTTCTGGAAGGTTCTCCAGGTGTTTGGGGGGGATTCTGGAAGGTTCTCCAGGGGTTTGAGGGGGGTTCTGGAAGGTTCTCCAGGGGTTTGAGGGGGTTCCTCGAGGTGTTTGGGGGGTTCTGGAAAGTTCTCCAGGGGTTTGGGGGCTCCTCGAGGTGTGTTTGGGGGCTCCTCGAGGTGTTTTGGGGTTCCTCAAGGGGTTTGAGGGGGTTCTGGAGCTGTTTGAGGGGGGGTTCTAGAAAGTTCTCCAGGTGTTTGAGGGTTCCTCAAGGGGTTTGAGGGGGTTCTTGAGGTGTTTGAGGGGGGTTCTGGAAGGTTCTCCAGGTGTTTGAGGGTTCCTGGGAGGTTCTTCTGACTCTCCCTACCTCAAACCACCCCAAAAATCCCCAGAATTCCCAAATCCGGGCGTTTTCCCCCCAGGAATTCACCAAGGAGGAGCCCAAGTCGGACATGGACGTGTCCATCCTGCCCCAGCTCGAGCACTGCAGCTCCACCAAGATGAACACCTGGCTCGGTGAGGGGGGTCCCCAAAATTTTGGGGGTTCCTGGTGGAAATTTGGGGATTTTGGGGCAAATTTGGGGATTTTAGGTGGAATTTTTGGGTTTTTCAGGTGGAATTTTGAGGAATTTCAGGGACATTTTTGGGAATTTCTGGTGGGATTTTGGAGAGTCATGAAAATTTGGGGGGTCCCCAAAATTTTGGGGGGCTACTGGTGGAAATTTGGGTGATTTTAGGGCAAATTTGGGGGGTTTTAGGTGGAATTTTTGGGATTTTCAGGCGGAAATTTGGGGATTTTAGGTGGATTTTTGGGATTTTTAGGTGGAATTTTGAGGAATTTCAGGGACATTTTTGGGAATTTCTGGTGGGATTTGGGGGGGTCCTGAAAATTTGGGGGGTCCCCAAGATTTTGGGGGGCTTCTGGTGGAAATTTGGGGATTTTAGGTGGAATTTTTGGGATTTTCAGGCGGAAATTTGGGGATTTTAGGTGGATTTTTGGGATTTTTAGGTGGAATTTTGAGGAATTTCAGGGACATTTTTGGGAATTTCTGGTGGGATTTGGGGGGGTCCTGAAAATTTGGGGGGTCCCCAAGATTTTGGGGGGCTTCTGGTGGAAATTTGGGGATTTTAGGTGGAATTTTTGGGATTTTCAGGCGGAAATTTGGGGATTTTAGGTGGATTTTTGGGATTTTTCAGGTGGAAATTTGAGGAATTTCAGGGACATTTTTGGGAATTTCTGGTGGAATTTTGGAGAGTCCTGAAAATTTGGGGGGGTCCCCAAGATTTTGGGGGGCTACTGGTGGAAATCTGGGGGATTATAGGGGAAATTTGGGGGATTTTAGGTGGAATTTTTGGGATTTTCAAGCAGAATTTTGGGGAATTTTAGGGTAAATTTGGGGATTTTAGGTGAATTTTTTGGGATTTTCAGGCGGAAATTTGGCGGATTTTTAGGCAGAATTTTGGGGGATTTTAGGCGGAAATTTTGGGGATTTTAGGTGGAATTTTGGGGGTTTTCGGGCAAATTTGGGGGATTTTAGGTGGA